ATATGACTCTAGCTTGTTTAATGATTTTTATGCTGAACATGGTATTATACATGAAACGACTGCTCCATACTCTCCTGAAATGAATGGTAAAGCAGAAAGAAAGAATATGACTCTTACTGAACTTGTAGTTGCAATCATGTTGAATTCTGGTGCTGCACCTCACTGGTGGGGGGAAATTTTATTGACTGTTCGCTATGTCCTGAATAAAGTTCCCAAGTCAAAAAGTAAGATCTCACCTTATGAGATATTAAAGAAAAGACAACCAAATTTGTCTTATTTAAGAACTTGGGGTTGTCTGACTTATGTCAGAATTCCGGATCCGAAACGAGTTAAACTCGCTAGTAGAGCCTATGAATGCGTATTCATTGGGTATGCAACAAACAGTAAGGCATACAGGTTTTATGACCTAAATGCCAGAGTAATTATAGAATCAAACGATGTTGAATTCTTTGAAGACAAATTTCCTTTCAAATCGAGAAATAGTGGGGGCACACAATCGAGTCACATTCCTGTGATAAAAAGCACTGAAAGCAGCAAAAATGTAGAAACAGAACTTCGAAGAAGTAAAAGAGCAAGAGTTGCTAAAGACTATGGGCCCGATTATGCGGCCTATAATGTAGAAGAAGATCCAATAGATCTTCAAGAAGCACTGTCATCTATGGATGCAGACTTATGGCAAGAAGCCATTAATGATGAGATAGATTCTCTATAATCTAACAAGACCTGGAACTTAATAGACTTACCCCTGGGTTGCAAACCAATTGGTTGCAAATGGGTTTTGAAAAAGAAACTAAAACCTGATGGAACGATTGAGAAATACAAGGCTCGCCTTGTAGCCAAAGGTTTTAGACAAAGAGAAAATATAGATTTCTTCGACACCTTTTCTCCGGTCACTAGAATTACATCCATTAGGGTACTCATTTCAATAGCAGCCATTTATAACTTAATAGTACACCAAATGGATGTTAAAACAGCTTTTTTAAATGGTGACTTAGAAGAAGAAATCTATATGGAACAACCAGAAGGGTTTGTAATCCAAGGACAAGAAAGCAAGGTCTGTAAGTTAGATAAGTCTCTATATGGACTAAAACAAGCCCCTAAACAATGACATGAAAAGTTTGATAACCTAATTATAATTAATGGGTACAAAGTGAATGAAAGTGACAAGTGCGTTTATTACAAATCTGAGAATCGCATTTGTACTATCATATGTCTATATGTAGACGATCTACTTATATTTGGATCAAACATTCAGGCCATTAATGATATGAAATCATTGTTATGCAATAACTTTGATATGAAAGACCTCAGAGAAGCAAGCGTGATCCTGGGTATCAAGATCACGAGATCTGACCAAGGAATTTCTTTGGATCAATCTCACTATGTGGAGAAGATCTTAAAGAAATATAAATACTTTGATTGTAAACTTGCATGCACTCCGTATGATCCAAGTGTGAAACTGTTTAAGAACACTGGAGAAAGGTTCAAACAAGCAGAATATGCAAGCATCATTGGTAGTCTTAGGTATGCCACTGATTGTACTAGACCCGACATTGCATATGTCCTAGGATTGCTGTGCAGATTTACAAGTAGGCCGAGTAACGAACATTGGCAAGCTATTGAGCGAGTAATGAGGTACCTTAAAAGGACTATGGACCTCGGCCTACACTATCAGAAATTTCCTGCTGTACTAGAAGGGTATAATGATGCAGATTGGAACACCTTATCGGATGATTCCAAAGCTACTAGTGGTTATATATTTAGTATAGCCGGAGGAGCTGTATCTTGGAAATCAAAGAAACAGACCATTCTGGCACAGTCCACAATGGAGTCTGAGATGATAGCATTAGCTACAACTAGTGAAGAAGCAAGTTGGTTAAGATGCTTGCTAGCTGAGATTCCTTTATGGGAAAAACCTATACCAGCTGTGTTGATCCACTGCGATAGTACCGCAGCTATTGCAAAAGTTGAGAACCGTTATTATAATGGTAAAAGACGTCAAATTAGAAGAAAACATAGCACTGTTAGAGATTGTATCTCTAAAGGAGCTGTTAGAGTGGATCATGTACGCACTGATGAGAACTTAGCAGATCCTTTGACGAAAGGATTAGCTAGAGAGAAAGTCCATAATACTTCCAAAAAGATGGGACTAATGCCTATAAAGCAATTAGTTACTCATGATGGTAACCCGACCTAAATGACTGGAGATCCCAAGACTTAGGTTCAATGGGTAACAACAAGTTGTGAGTAATATGGAAATGATCATGCAAGTAAAGCATGAATCCTGAAGTAATGAGAGGATGAGATAATAGAAACTCTTAATGAGATCTATACTCTGTATGAGGGAGTACCTAGGCTGCAGGAGTACTCTTGATAGATTCACCTATGTGACTGTGGAACTAAGGCCGGTTCCTATGGAATTTCGAGGCAGAATTCCTAGAGCATTCACTAAACCGGGATACACGTGCAGGGCCAGTAAAGCACGGGCTACAAGAATACACCTTACGGAAAGGTTTTGTGCGGGTCTGATGTCCGAGATAGAGTTCAAGACAATGGTGTCACTCTTATTGAATCAGAATCCTACTCGCTACGCTAAGGTTCAAGTCGTAGACACCTTTGCTTATGCTCAACCTTAGAAACGTCTGACCTACTTCTAAAATCTCTTTTAAATTCAAGTGGGGGAATGTTGGAACTTTAATTAATTAGAGTGGGAATTGGAAACATTTGTTGACAATTAATGAGCAATAAATGAACACAAGTTAGAACTAATATAGAAGTGAATTTGAAAAGATTCATTTTAGTCCCACATTGAAGGGAATGAAAATATTAGTAGTGTTTATATATTCCAACTTTATCAATTGGGTTGGGCCCTAAAGGGCACCCAATTTTGTGAAAGGAGTGAGGACACACCCATGACCAACAAGACACACATGCGCGCGCCGCCGCCGCCGATACTTAGACTTAGACAGGTGTATTTCTAGAGCGATTTATCAGTATGCAAGACAGGTCTATTTCTAGAGCGATTTATCAGTGTGTGTGCAACTGATAATCGTAAATTGGTTGAACGCTTTGCATAATTTGGCATCTGTAACACAACCGATGGTTATGTGTTATCTATGCATTAAACTCAATTCTTCAAATTCAAAAAACACGTCTGTAACACAACCGATGGTTATGTGTTATCTATGCATTAGTTTCTTTCATCTGAACTGATGTTGCATTTAGTATGTCGACTAAGTGACATGTTTATGTCAAATTTTCATGTTTTGCTTAAGCAAAAATTATATTAGGTAGTTGTTCTATATGTTTTTTCCGCTGCTAGAATTCTGCTAGCTTTGTTATTCATGAAGATAAGTGTCTCCACAACATATTGTAATATGTAATTACTTTCCTTTCTTCGAGAGTAGCATGATGGTGTGTGATGGGGACGACGGATCTCCGATGGAGTGTGACTGCCTCCTTTTTCCCAGACTCGTGTGACGAGGTATGATGTTCTAGACACCGGGTACGATCAGGGGATCTAGGGATTGCTATGCGTGGGAGAAGGTGTCAACGGAGACTGGTTCTGGTTCAACTTCCTGATTGCCGCACAAGGTCGCCTTGCATACAAAATGATCACTTGAAGGAGTGTAAATTTTCTTTGATTCTAAGTACTTTTTCAACTAACAAGTGTGAATTATGTTGTTGCACCATGTTATAGACACCGTGGAGCAAATCACTGGCCCTCGCATACCTAGATTTACTTGCAGCTGTTAGAGGATCTGAAGCATCTCTTGTATTGGAACCAGCAGTTGCGATGGGATTGCTTTGAGATCTGGCCTTGGATTGGTTGTTGAAAAGACTGTAAAATCGAGAGGACTTGGAATGTGCCTTGGTTAATTGTCACAGGGACTAGATTTTGTGGTGTAAGAGCGGAAGGAGAAGTCACCAGGAGAGGATCGTCCTCGACCATAAGAGGAAGCAGAGTCTCTTTCATAAGGTCGGGAACATTGATTATTGTAGCGGCCACATCGGCGACATGATTGAGTAGCTTTCAAAGTGTCCATTGTTTCAAGAGTTTGATCGATGATTCACACTAGAAAGAGGTCGATAATTCGAATAAGAAAGAAATATGATGTTTGGCGAATAGCGGTGAAGAGATGGTGGTTTCTCGTGGAATTTCATGGGAATTAGATGTCAAATTCTCACATACGGCACCACTGTTCTGTTCAGGAACCAAAAATAGTTGATGACAGAGTGAAACAAGGCTCAGATACGGTGGAACGTATTAACAACAAGGTGGAGCGTGGTGGACCTACAAAATTTACACTCCAACGTTCAAGTTAGTGGAAGAATGAGAAGTAGTTAGAATGTGTGAATCTTGGCGCGTCAGTTGTGTGCAAAACTTTATATATACAAGGCGGTTAGAATTGCTTTCACTTAATCCAGGGTTTCGTATGGATCACCGTCAATTAGATCTAGAGGTAGGAAGTTGATAGGAGGTCAGAATTATGCGCTACGTGTTTGAGTGAAGTCGTACATGTTATTTGGACCTTTCCTTATAGTGTTTGTTATTAAGCTTTGATGTGTGGGTTCTCAACAATTTAATACTCTAATAAATTTGAATCACACTACACAATTTTCATATCAACTTATCATTTTTCATAAAACAATTTTCACTTATTTTTATAATTTTACCAAAGTAACTTATAATCTCAACTTATAACATATAAAAAATAATTTAAATTTATTTTATCTTTTATTATAAAAATAGTTTATATAAACATATAAGTAAATAAGTTGTTTATTGATAACTTATTGATTAGTATTGCTCTAGATTTTGAAATTAAAGAAAAAAGTAAGCAACATTGCTCCCTAAGATAATTTGGAACCATCTTTTTTTATCAAGTTAGTTTTCCTTAAGTCATCTTAGGGCACACCAAACCAAACAATACTTACATAATTCTGAAGGCAAAAAAGTCCATGCCTTTTTTTCATATGCAAAACAACATGACTGCACATTAATATCCAATATATCTATTTTTGGCAGAGTTTCTCAGAGTGGCTGCTGAAGAAGCTGGATTGATAGCTTTTCTTATCTTAGAGACATTCCAAGCAGTATTAGCAGCATGTCCTGCACTTGCAAATACATGTTCTGTAGCTTCCCCTGCATCTTCCCCGTACCTATATAACCAAAACTTACCTATATAAGTTATAAACTGAAATGCTATTTGTAATAGTATCTCAAACAATGTTAAAAAGCTCTTGAAATTTATGTTAATAATGTTGTGCTTTTTACCTGTTAGAAACCATTCTTGTTGCAGCTTGAGAGGTAGCAGAAAAAGTTTGTTTTTCGGCTGCTTCTGCTGCTTCAAAAACCTTGTCTGTTGCATCAAAAGAGAATATAGTAATAAAGTTGATACTAAACGGTCCGGTTCCCACACACCTAAAGATTGAATTAATCGACAGACTAACCAATTTTCAGATGAATCAGCCGGTTTGGCCTAATTCTAAAAACACTAAATTTATAATTTTTATTTGTTATTCTTACACTATACTTAACTCTCATGTAAGTAACAAGTTAGTTTGAAGAATTAATAACTAACTTGTTACACAAGCTACCAAAAATAGTTAAAGTTACTTAGGTGCCAAAACTAGTTTGTTATGGTAGTTAGAGGTTGTTAGTAACTTATGATACCATACCGATGTTCCACCATAACAATCATGTATATCATGTACCTTGCTATATAAGTCTCTTGTACCATTCATTCATAATCAATGAAGCATCACCATTTCTCATAACAGCTATTTCATAAATTCAAAGAGAAAATTGCTCAATCCTTACAACTTCGAGAAACAGAAGGTCGATTTCCTCATTATAATGAAAATCATGCTATTTGTTAGTCTTATATGATCAGCAACTTTGGTTATATGAAAAGAGTTTTACTTACTAACTGCATCAAGGGAAGCCAAAAGAACCTCTCCTGGGAGCATCTTTAGGAATGCCTGTCCAGGTTGAGATTTAAGCACAGGAGTCATCAATGAACCACTCACTATTCCAACACCATTGAGTAATGTTTTTGATAACTTTTCTGTCATATTTGTAAGCTTTCTCACACTATATTGTAAACAAATGAAAAAATAAGTTAGTTTTCGCATCATCTCAAAACTAATTACAGATCAGGATCGTCATAAGTTTTCAGAGATGATGTGTAGGTTAAACACAGTTTAATTATGGCGAAACAAATAAGGATCCTATTTTGCCGCGGTTTAGTCGCGACAAATATTTTAGAGACCCTATTTATGCACGGTTTAATCGTGTCAAATTTGTGGTAGTCCACTTGCACATCTTCAAAGACGACCATATTATATACTATTATTTGTATGATATTTCAAATAGATACGAATAAAGTCA